AGTATTCCAAATAGTATAATTTTGTAGAACTCGTCGAATTCTATCATATCTAATTTAGTTGGTCGAAAAATATTGCTCCTGAAAGAAAATATGGCAGATCCTGCGAAGGCCCGGTCGCAAGTAGGCAGAAAATTTGTCTTACACGCATGCAGAGCCGAGGGCAAAAACGAGTAAAACGACACCAACGATGACGATGGCCCATATATTCTCATCTGGATCCGCCCTGATGCTCAAAAATTATAAAAATATATTTGGTTTTTCGAGAGAATAGGTGCTTACTGAACTACACAGTTGATTCTCTCGAGAAAACTGTAAATTCCATGCATCACTTGGGGGCTTCTCGGAGAATGATGCTGCCAAACTTCGCAATCCGGTCGGAGGGTGGTGTTCTCGTCTGGAAATTCAGTTTTTCTAAAATTTTTCGCTAAAATAATGATTTTTGAGAGAGACAGAGGTAGGAAAATGGTTCAAAATCACCTTTAAAGTAAATTTTTTCCTCAAAAATCAATGAAAATTCAAATTATTTCATGAAAATTATCGGGAAAAGAAACCAAATTTTTACGATTTTTGTGAAAAAAAAATGCTTAGCCGATTTTTAACAATTCTTAGGTCCTAAAAATAAAAATTCCGGCTTTTTTGACGCCAAGATAACACATTTTAGACGATTTCAAGACATAAATAATACTTTTCGATTCCTCCTGTCCATTGGCTTGTGCTAGAAGAATCAGCGAGAGAACAGGTGCCCACCGAATCATTTTGAGTCTGAATAAGCAATTAAAAACCTGAAAATCAAGCGATTTCTATAAAATTCAACGGAAATTAGCACCGGAAAGAATAAAAAATTAGAAAAAAATGGAAAAAATAGCGAATTAGTGGCTTTTGTGAAAGCAAAATGTACAAAAATAAGAGCAAGAAAATTAATAAAAATAGACAAAAGTTACATCGATTTACACAGAAAAATACATGGAAATTAGCTCCCAAAGACTCCTATTCCTCATGGTCCTCATCCATATCGTCCAGTAGAATATTCTCGTGAATTCTGCCATTTCCAACGGCTGGATTCGGTCCTCCTTCTCCGACTCGTCTCCGGTCCAGAACGTTGTTAACCACGTAGCCAATGCTGGAAAATTTCAAATATTTATATTAAAAAATGGAGAAAATTGAGCTTACTAGCTGCAAGCCAACACGAAAACAACGAATGCACCTCCGCCGAGCAGTACCATGTGCATTCCCCAGTCGGCTTCGGAACTGCAAAACTTCAAATTGTTAGAAATCGCAAATCCGCTCTACTAGACTACAGAAGAGCGCATTTTCTTAGAAATTACTAAAATGGGCGGAGTGTTGTGGTAGGAATCGTGGTGGTGGTTGTGGGTAGCTCTGTTGTGGTCGAGGTGGTGAGAATGGGACCTGAAAAAATTTTTTTACTGAAAAAGATGAAATTTGCGTTTTTCAGAGACATTTCTAGGTAATTCTGGTTCAGACTTTCCGATTTTTCAGACAAAAGTGAGAATTCTAGCCGATTTTTGTTCAAAATTACCGATTTTTCGACAAAAAAGTTATATTTTGACCAATTTTCAACTAATTCCGCATGAATATTGATCTTTGTTCAGAGATTTCTGATCAATTTTGGGTGAAAAATTCAAATTTCGGCTGTTTTTCAACCAAATTTCCTAGGAACAATACCAATCTTATATAAAATTTCTAACCAATTTCGATCCAAATTTTCCGAATTTTCTGACAAAAATATGAAATTTCCAGCCAATTTTGACCTAAATTTTCCGATTTTTTAGGATGAAAAATTGATTTTCGACAAGTTTCCAGCCAATTTTTCTGGAAAATCCATTTTTCGAACCTTTTGGCTTCTGATTTCCATCGCCTCGTGCGAGCAGGATTAGTGCGAAAATGGGCGCCAATCGAATCATTTTGAGTCTAAAAATGCAGCGAATTAAGGAAAAAAACTCGATTTCGAGTAAAAATAAATAGAAAGGGAGCAATGAAACCAGAAAAAAACAGAAAAAAAAGAAAAATGTATTAGTATTTCTTTGAATTTCGAGGCTTCAGTTCAGGTATTTACAAGGTGAAAAAGCAAGGTACAAGATTGAAAATATGATAAAAATAGGTGAAAAATAAGTTAGTCCTGTCGACGACGCCGCCAGTAGTTCGTCCAATACTCTCGCACCATAATCACGAGGAGAACAGCCACGCAGAAACAGAAGGGATAAGCCAGCAACCTGAAAACCAATTTTCTGGAAAATTTCCACTTTTTGATACTCACTTGAAAAATGGGAGGATGTATCTGCCCCACGGCCAGTTTATGAATGGGTGATGTTCAAAGTAAACATCATTTTGTTCTATCATCTGCAACTTATAATCTGCCATGGCTGTTTCGAGTGCTGAAAAATGGTTAAATCATGGCTCAAATGCCAGATTTTTGTGGAAAAAAAAATAGAAGGGTAGGTAAACCAAATCTCACAAAAAAGGTAAAAAATTGAGCCGCGGAGAAGAATATTGTATTTACATCGTTATTTTTCAAGAGTCAGTAGGGGTATATACAGCAAAATGACAAGATGAAGAGGTGAGAAAGAGATACATCGATCACTCAGGCAACGTATTGGGTCGCGTTCAATGGGATTCCGGGTCCGGCGACGAGATTCGCGTCGGTGTTGAGTCCTCCGCGGCGGTTGACAAGACAGAATATGCTGAAAATTGGAGTTTCAATGTCATTTTTCGGGCTAAAAATCGCTTGGGATTGGATGAAAATTCGAAATTTTCGCATGAAAATTACCAATTTTCCCAGAAATTCTGGCCAAGTTTGGCCCAAATTTTCGAATTTTTCAAAGAAAAAGAACTCACAGAAGGGCTCCAACGACGAAACCGCCGATGCTGAATGCGACAATCCAGCCGGTGCCCATCTGAAAATTTCACTACGATAAGAGGAAAGTACTGGGAAATTGCGAAAAAAACGTGAAAAATAGTGATAATTAGGTGAATTTTGGGCTGAAAACGTGAAAAAAAACGCTGAAAATCCAGAAAGAATCGGAAATTTTGATGAAAAATGACTCGAGAAATAAAAGAAATTTGGAATAATCAAAGAGAAATTCAGAAAAATTGGGCAAAATCCGAGCAAAAATGCTGAAATTGGCTCAAAACGCTGAAAATCCAGAAAAAATCGAAAAATTTGATGAAAAATGATCTGAAAACAAGTAAACAAGTTCAAAAATGAGCTTCTAGAACGTCGCAGAACTTTAAAGGCGCACGCAGTTTCGAGAGCGATGAGTCTCGCACCGAAAAAAAATACAATAACCCATTTTTTAACGGTTTTCAAATTTCCAAATTCAACTTGCATCCCTTCCCTTGGTAAAAACTAATTTTTAGACCGTTTTTTGCTGCATTGCTGAAAACAATCAGTTTATGAAATTTCAAACATCATTTTGGGCCCCGAAATGTTTATTTTCGCGATTTAAGAGTATCTGTAGGGGTTTGAGCAGCCAATAATAAAAATTACATGTGAAATTGATGGGGAAAAAGTGAAAGATAACGACAATATGTGATTTTTCTTGAGCAAATTATTACAAGAAATGTTATGAATTGGGTGAAAAAAGATACAGGAAGTGAGTAAAATTACAGAATGTACAGAAGAATTTTCGAGAATTTCCATCTCTAGACTTGTGGCTCGTCTTGAAGTCTAGCTTCCTCTGCAGGCGGATGAATCTCCACACGTTGTTCTTGATTGTTGGAGCCGGTTCTGAAGAATCTAACGACTCCCAGGTTTTCCCAGTCCCTTGGAATCAACTCATGGGTGAACGACCTCACTCGATCCTTATTTTCACGGCAGAAAAATCCAATGATTCTGGAAAAATAAAGAATTATGACGTTTGAAAAAATTGAAAACACTAACCCAGTAACGATCAATATGACGAGAATCACGATGATAATGTAGAGGAACGTGTCGTGAGAACTGAAAAAAAAGAATTTATGGAGCTTCAAATGAACATGAAAACCATACTGCTGCTCAGGAAGACAGATGTATCTTCCGTTCCAGTTTTTGTACTGCTCCGGCCTATGCTCAATTGGCATCACTATTTCGCGTCCGTCTTGTTTTTTGGCCAGGAAGAACAAGACACAATCCGTTCTGTTGAAGGTGCTGATGTCGTCGACGGTGGCGTCCACTGAAAAATTACCGTCATTTTCAGCTTCTAGGACTTACAAACTTACGAAACTTTGCACCTTCATCTTCTTGTGCAACGCAGAGAGCACACAGAAGAGGAATGAGGACCAGAATCGAGCGCATTTCGGGATGGGAAATCTGAAAAATTGGCTTGTTTTGAAGAATATAACAAGTTTCTGCAATTTCAGAAAATTATAGATTGCAGAAATCGAAAAAAAAGCGGCGAAAATTGACGAAAAATGGAAAAAAATTGGGCCTAAAATTTTTCGCAGAAAAACCCCTGAATTGCTGAGAGAATCCTCACAAATTGCGATAAAAATATTTTTTCATAATTTTTCTGCATAAAAATAGCAAAAAAAAAATCTGACAAACCCGCAAAAACCGCTCGAAAAACCAGAGAAAACAAGCAAAAAAGCTTCTAGAAGCTCGCAGAAATTAAAGGCGCACCTAGTTTCGCGCGCCATGGGCATCGCCGCGAACTACAGTAAGACATTTTTGGCGGATTTTTGAATTTTGAAATAATTAAAATAATTTTTTTTGCGGTTTTCAGGCTATTTTCACGTTGATTTTTACTGAAATTTTACTAGAAAAATGAAAAATTAGAAAAATCAGGAGAAAAAGGCGAAAAAAGACTTAAAATCCTGAAAAAAGCTTCTAGAATCTCATAAAAATTAAAGGCGCACACAGTTTCGCGGCTTGTGAGTCTCGCACCGAACAAATATACAGTAATCCAATTTGATGAATTTCGGCGAATTTCGAGTTTTTTTTCGGGTTTTCAGCCTAAAAAAGTCGAAATTTCTCGAAAAAACATTCGAAATTTCTGTAAAATGCTTAATTTCGTTGATTTTTAACAAAATTTGATGGTTTTTTCGGCGAATTTCGATGTTTTTCGGCCTAAAAAACATCGAAAATTAAGGGAAAAAATCAAGGAATTTATTGAAAAAGTGCATATATTTTACTTAAAATTGAATAATAAAAGTGTTTTCAGAAGATTTCAATCAAAGAATAACAGTTTTTAGGGCAATTTCAGGGTAAATTTTCAAAAAATTAATTATCCAAGCTGCTCCAAATTCTCAAATCGCTTCTCCATATCCTCATTTTTCAGAAATTTCCGAAGTTCTTCACTTGATTTTTGCCAAATCTCTTCTCGAACTTTTTCGAGAACTTTTCCCAATTTATTGGCCCCTTTCCACTGCTTCATGTCTTCCGCTCGTTTGTCGGTGACGCCGAGGCCTGGAAAACATTGAAAAATTGAAAAAAAAACTTTCCTAAAATTCTAGCCTAAAAACTCACCAATTCCCCACAACCTATCTCTCGCCGATGCCTCCGCCAGCAGCATGCCACGTGTCCGAAGAAGCGCCAATTTCAAATCCTCGTTTTGTGAAAACTTCAAAAGACATCCATCGTACATGACATTTTCAGATATTGAGGACCACCTGGAACTTTTTGGATTTCTCGGCCACCGAATTTCTAAGCCACCACTTACTCTTCCAGCATTTCTGGTGTCATTTCCAGACTCCTTCCGGCTCTTTTCATCAACAATGGCTTCGTCATTTTCAGAATCTCCTCTGCTCCTTCTGGATCTTTAGCTAGCAACGCCTTCTGATGCCTGAGATTTAAATTTAGGTGGCCTAGAAAAGTTTCTAGGCCACCACTCACATAAAATACTGCTCACTGCAGCTGAAATTTACCAAATTTCCATTGATTTTAATGGAAAAATGGGCGGGGTGAAAATTGGAAAATGGACAGGAGGCCTGGTAGAAAAGCACGATTTTTGGGGACTTGGATTTGATGATTTTTAGGGGCATTTTTTGGGGAAAAATAATTTCTTTTTGGTGAAAAATGGAGGTGAAAAGGGAAAGAGGGGAGACGCAGAGAGAGAGAGAGAACTTTCGTAATTCGGTGTTTTTCGAAATTCTTTGGTTTTTTGGTTTGGAGGAAAATTGAAAATTCTTTGGAATTTCGAACCAATACTCTTTAGGTCATTTTTCGAAATTTTCAGAAATGAATTTTTCTGAATTTTTAGAATTTTTCAGAGACGATTTTTTCTGAATTTTTAGAACTTTTCAAAATTCAGAAAAATTTTTCAAATTTTAACTTGAAAATTCTAAAAAATACTGAATATTCTGAAATGTTCAAAAAATATTGAAAAAAACAAAAATTTTTGAATTTCCTTTATTTCGTTTGAATTATTTCATTTTTTTCAGAAATGATTTTTCAGAATTTTTCGGAAATGTTCAGAATTTTCAAAAGTTTTTTTTTCAATTGTTTTAAAAATTTGAATTTTTCAGAAGTCAATTTTTCAGTAATCAGCTTTTCAGAATTAAAAAATTTTTTTCAGAAATTTTGCATTTTTTGAATTTCTCACAAGGTGATGTTGTTCACAATGAAAGAAAGACGAAGAAAAAAATCTGGAGGTTTCTAAAAATTAATTCCCGAAAAGTCGAAAATCCAACAATTCAAAAACTCAGAAAAATCACAAAATTCGAAAAATTGAACATAAAATTTACCTATTCAAAAGAAGTGAAAAAAATTGGGAATGAAAAAATCCACGTGGCATAAAAAGGAAAACAATACGTAAAATACGTAAAATTGAATATAATTTTTTTCTGTCCCATTGACCTCGGGAAGATTTTTATAAAAGAAAAGGGAAGTACTTAGAAGATAAATGAGTTCTCCTTCTTCTCCGGGAAGAGAAGGAGGAGGAGGAGCCGGGGATTCCAGCTGTGTCCTGGGTCTTTCGGGGTAGAGTAGCGTGTCGACACAGAGTCGTATCGACACAAGTGAAAAATATCTGAAAAATCGTATCGACGCAAGTCTACACAGAGTCGACTCGTGTCGACACAACCTCGAGTCGGCTTTGAGTCGTGTCGTGTCGACTCGTGGTCTAGAAAACCAAAATTGCAAAAGTTAGGCCATCACTATAAAATGAACTAGAAAACACACCAGCGTCATGTCAGTGCATTTTTGGCCATTTTGAAGTGGTGGCCTAGAAAAAACCAGAATTGCAAAAGTTAGGCCACCACTATAAAATGACTTAGAAAACACACCAGGGTCATGCCAGGGCATTATTAGGCCATTTTGAAGTGATGACCTAACTTTTGCGTTTTTTGTTT